CCACCCACCCACCCACCCACCCACCCACGCGCGCGCAAGCGCGTGCTTGTGCTCTGCCCGCGCGCGCGCCGCGCCCAGAGCCAACCAGATTAAGACTGCATCCCCGGCATCCACTCTAAGCCCAGACGGCGATCGCGATGTTTTCTGCATAGTCGCACCAGCCCCGCTTGCACCCCGCCCATCTGATTGCAAACATGCCCACTATGTCTGCCCACCACCAAAACCTACTTTCAGGTGGCCATTGTTTGAGGTTGAGCACGCAGGGGCAAGGGCAAGGGCTGGAAAGCGATGCTGTTGGGGCAGGAATGCTGGGGATGTAGTGGCGACTGTCGGGGGTGATTTGCACGGCATGTGCAGTGTGTTTTGAAGGTTGGGCAAGGCCAGGGAAGATTGGGATGTTTTGGGGCCCAAATGTTTGGGCAGGGATGCTGAAGAGGAGCTTGGGGTGCAACAAAACGCGTCGGCGGTATCCCCTGCGGGTAGGGTTACCCTGGCTCACACAGCGCGGTTGGACCCTTCTGGTTTCTGTTCTTGCTGTAGCATGTTCTTGCACGTGGTCTTGGTCTTGAGCCTGCTTTTCTTTTTGCTCTTTGCCTTGTGATGGTTATTGTCTTGGTCTTGCTTTTCTTCTTGTTCTTCCTCTTGTTATTGTTGCTTGTTTGTCCTTGTTCCTGTTACTTTTCTTGTTCTTGGTTTGGTGTTTGGTCTTGGTCTTGTTCTTCTGCTCTTGTTGTTTTCTTGGTCCGGCTCTTGATCTTGTTCTCTCTCCTTTTTTTTCTTGTTCTTGGTTTTGCTCTTGCGCTTGCCCTTCTTCTTGTTGTTGTTCCTGTTGTCGTGCTCATCGACGTTGTCATTGCCGTTGAAATGGTGTATGTGTATGTATGCACGTAGGATGTTGCAGGGGCAGCTGCGGCCCACAGAAAAGCGGGAGAGTGGAGTGGCTGCCCCATGCTACGGTGGAGGTTTGGAAGTTGGGAGATTCTGTCACATGCTTTTGTGGGGCAGCGCAGTCATCCACGCAGAAAAGGCTGACTTGAAGGATCTCCTTTTGTGAGGCGCGACGTGTGCGGAGGTGTTTCGGGTTGTTTTAGTGTTCTTTCAAAGTGGATTGGCTTGGTCTCGACAGGTTTTGCACTTTGCGGATTCTGTAGCAGCCTGGTGGCGCCGACAGGACTTGGGAGGGGGTTTCGCTCACCCCTAGAGCGGGTTGGATGCGATCATTTGCGTATCGGGCATTCCCCGCGCCCCGTTCACGCAACATCAATGTAACAAAAAGTAGTTCCTGGAAGCCAGCTGCAGCTTCAACAAACATTGGTGTGTTTGGTTGTGTTTGGTTGTGTCCCAGGCACGAGAGACCCCCTCCATGTTTCCTTTGTTTTTTCCCAGAAGCATTGCGAAGGGTTCTTCTTCTAAAAGCGGCTGCAAACTTCACCTGCCAACTTCTCATGCCAACTTCTCGGGAGTTACTTCACTTGCCAACTTCTCGTGTCAACTTTTCGAGAGTTACTTCACCTGCCAACCTCTCGTGTCAACTTTTCGAGAGCTACTTCACTTGCCAAATTCTCATGTCAACTTTTCGAGAGTTACTTCACTTGCAAACTTCTCGTGTCAACTTTTCAAGAGTTACTTCACCTGCCAACTTTTCGGGTGTTATCTCATTTTCCTAAAAGCACAAGCTAACTTTTCGGGCGTGCCTTCACTTCTCGACTCTTAATTCTTCTTCTTTTTCTGGCGGGGGTAGGCCCGACGGGAGCTTACGAAACGCACCCTCTGCGGAGATCGTGCGCTCTCGCTGTGGCGCCGTGCGAATTTGTCTTGGTCTCGGCGAACTCTCTGCGGAAATCGTGCGTGTCGAAGCGCTCTCGCTGTGGCGCCGTGCGAATGTGTCTTGGTCTCGGCGAACCCTCTGCGGAGATCGTGCGTGTCGAAGCGCTCTCGCTGTGGCGCCATGCGAATTTGTATTGACCTCGGCGAAACATCTGCGGAGTTCGTGCGTGTCAAAAAGCTCTCGCTGTGGCGTCGCGCGGCTTTTCTGACATTCACGGCTCGCGAAATGGCTTTTGGAAGTTGTCTCGTGGTTTCCGCGCCTGCTCTCGCCAGCGCGCGGTCGCACTCGATTTTCCTTTGGTTCGCGGCAGTTCCTGCTCGAAAATCATAGCTTTTAAGATCTTTTAAGTCTAAAAGTGTATGGAAACTGTGCCCCCGCAGCTCTGGCTGCAAAATCGTAAATGTCGAGTACAGCAGTTATGGCAAGAGGTTCCCAGAAGTGAGTAGTGATATTTTTCATGCGTTTCGCAAGTGGAGTTGGGGAATGGGAAGTGGGGTCCAAGGCCCGTGCTGCCATGGAAACAATTCGCGGACTCTTTGTGCAGGAGCTGAAGACCCATCTACTTGACGAAGTCCCGCTATGGGGCTTAAACTGCAAACTTACCCCCCAAAACGGACAAGATGTTCCACAACTTTGGGAGAGGCCCTGAGCGGCGGACAGCAGGATGGGAATGTTATCAGTGACAAGCGGGTTGGGACGGTCATTGCAAAAAAAGCGCTGACATCTCTCAGCCGCTCTTCTTTTCACGATTTCGAGAGGATGTGACTGTCAAATAAACCACGCAGCGCACAGGCTCCCTTTCATGTCTGCTGCGTCTTTAACACAAATTGTCCTTGCGACTGCTTCTGCTTTTACTCGCTTGGCCAGTGTTAAAGGGGGGCAAGCTGTAAAGAAACTAGACGCACATACTCTACCCGGAGAATAGATGGCTCCAAAAAATGGTCTGTGCCATCTACTTTTCTTCAACTTAGATAATTACACTCCGCGCGCCGGCGCCAGATAATTGGGGGTCAACCGGGATGCAAAATAGATGGCACAATTTTTTAGCCCTCTAAGAATAATTTATGGCACAATTCAGTGCGTCCACTCACGCTCGCTCACTGGCTCACTGGCTCACTCACTCACTCACTCACTCACTCACTCACTCACTCACTCACTCACTCACTCACTCACTCACTCGCTCGCCAAAGGCTGCCGCTCTTTGTGTATGTTACGATGGGGCCAAGTCACGGTTTGGGCTGATGGGAATGGTTGCATTTAGAGTTGTGCCGCAGTGCCTCCACAAGGCAGCGCCTCACAAGGCAGCCTCCCAGGTAGCGGAGTTGATTTGAGGAAGTCCAGCCTTTGAGGAAGTCCCGCCAGCTGATGTGGGTTCCTTCCATGTCTTTCGAAGCCTGGGCTGCCGCAAGTGCATGCCCGGAATTGTGCCATCTACTTTGCTTCGTTTGTGGGGCCTCCACAAGGCAGCCCCCCGGGCAGCGGGGAAGCCAGGTAAGTACGAGATTTTCCAGGCAGACAAGAAGCCCAACCAGGCAAGCAGAGGGCCAGGGAGTTATGGAAGCACAGCCTTCGAGGAAGTCCAAGCCGAGATCGAAGCCTGGGCTGCTTGGCAAGCCCACGCATGGAATTGTGCCATCTACTTTGCTTCGTTTGTGGGGCCTCCACAAGGCAGCCCCCCGGGCAGCGGGGAAGTCCTGCCACACAAGCTGCAGCCAGGTAAGTACGAGATTTTTCCAGGCAGACAAGAAGCCCAACCAGGCAAGCAGAGGCCTGAACCAGCCTTGCAGGGAGTTATGGAGGAAGTCCAAGCCAAGATCGAAGCCAGGCTGCTCGGCAAGCCCACGCATGGAATTGTGCCATCTACTTTGCTTCGTTTGTGGGAGGGCCTCCACAAGGCAGCGGGGGAAGTCCAGCTACACAAGCTGCCCAGGTAAGTACAAGATTTTTCCACGCAGACAAGAAGCCCAACCAGGCAAGCAAAGGGCTGAGGCAGCCTTGTAGGGGGAAGCCGGGCTGCTTGGCAAGCCCACGCGTGGAATTGTGCCATCTACTTTGCTTCGTTTGTGGGAGGGCCTCCGCAAGGCAGTTTCCCGGGCAGCGGGGAAGTCCAGCCACACAAGCTGCAGCCAGGTAAGTACGAGATTTTTCCAGGCAGACAAGAAGCCCAACCAGGCAAAGCAGAGGGCTGAGGCAGCCTTGCAGGGAGTTATGGAGGAAGTCCAAGCCCAGGTCGAAGCCGGGCTGCTTGGCAAGCCCACGCGTCATCTACTTTGCATCGCAGTTTTTTCCGGGCAGCGGGGAAGTCCAGCCACACAAGCTGCAGCCAGGTAAGTACGAATTTTTTTCCAGGCAGACAAGAAGCCCAACCAAACCAGGCAAGCAGAGGGGTGAGGCAGCCTTGTAGGGAGTTATGTCCAAGCCAAGATCAAAGCCGGGCTGCTTGGCAAGCCCACGCATGGAATTGTGCCATCTACTTTGCTTCGTTTCTGGCAGGGCCTCCACAAGGCAGGTTCCCGGACAGCGGGGAAGTCCAGCCACACAAGCTGCAGTCAGGTAAGTACGAGAAGTTTAACCAGGCAAGCAGAGGGCTGAGCCAGCCGTGCAGGGAGTTATGGAGGAAGCCCAAGCCGAGATCGCCCACGCGTGGAATTGTGCCATCTACTTTGCTTCGTTTGTGGGAGGGCTGCGCAAGGCAGTTTCCCGGGCAGCGGGGAAGTCCAGCCACACAAGCTGCAGCCAAGGTAAGTACGATATTTTTTCAGGCAGACAAGAAGCCCAACCAGGCAAGCAGAGGGCTGAATTCCAAGCCAAGCCGAGATCGCCCAGGCATGGAATTGTGCCATCTACTTTGCTTCGTTTGTGGGAGGGCCTCCACAAGGCAGTTTCCCGGACAGCGGGGAAGTCCAGCCACACAAGCTGGGTAAGAACGGGATTTTTCCAGGCAGGGCAAAGGCTAACCAGGCAAGCAGTGGGCTGATTTGGCAAGACAGCCTTGCAAGGAGTTATGGAAGAAGCCGAGATCGAAGCCTGGGCTGCTTGGCAAGCCCACGCATGGAATTGTGCCATTTAGTTTGCTTCGTTTGTGGGAGGGCCTCCACAAGGCAGTTTCCCGGGCAGCGAGGAAGTCTGACAAGAAGCCCAACCAGGCAAGCAGAGGGCGGAGGCAGCCTTGCAGGGAGTTATGGAGGAAGTCCAAGCCGAGATCGAAGCCGAGCTTGGCAATGAAATTGTGCCTTCTACTTCGCTTCGTTTGTGGGAGGGCCTCCACAAGGCAGTTTCCCGGGCAGCGGGGAAGTCCAGCCACACAAGCTGCAGCCAGGTAAGTACGATTTTTCCAGGCAAACAAGAAGCAAGCAGAGGGCTGAGGCAGCCTTGCAGGGAGTTATGGAGGAAGCCCAAGCCGAGATCGAAGCCGGGCTGCTTGGCAAGTCCACGCGTGCAGTTTCCCGGGCAGCGGGGAAGTCCGCCACACAAGCTGCAGCCAGGTAAGTACGAGATTTTTCCAGGCAGACAAGAAGCCCAACCAGGCAAGCAGAGGGCTGAGGCAGCCTTGCAGGGAGTTATGGAGGAAGTCCAAGCCGAGATCGAGTCCGGGCTGCCCACGCATGGAATTGTGCCATCTACTTTGCTTCGTTTGTGGGAGGGCCTCCACAAGGCAGTTTTCTGGGCAGCGGGGAACTCCAGCCACACAAGCTGCCCAGGTAAGTACGAGATTTTTCCAGGCAGACAAGAAGCCAAACCAGGCAAGCAGAGGGCTTCGTTTGTGGGAGGGCCTCCACAAGGCAGTTTCCCGGGCAGCGGGGAAGTCCAGCCACACAAGCTCCAGCCAGGTAAGTACGAGCTTTTTCCAGGCAGACAAGAAGCCCAACCAGGCAAGCAGAGGGCTGAGGTAGCCTTGCAGGGAGTCATGGAGGAAGTCCAAGCCAAGATCAAAGCCGGGCTGCTTGGCAAGCCCACGCGTGGAATTGTGCCATCTACTTTGCTTCGTTTGTGGGAGGGCCTCCACAAGCCAGCCACACAAGCTGCAGCCAGGTAAGTACGAGATTTTTCCAGGCAGACAAGAAGCCCAACCAGGCAAGCAGAGGGCTGAGGCAGCCTTGCAGGGAGTTATGGAGGAAGTCCAAGCCCAGGTCGAAGCCGGGCTGCTTGGCAAGCCCACGCGTCCTCTACTTTGCTTCGTTTGTAGGAGGGCCTCCACAAAGCAGTTTTTTCCGGGCAGGGGAAGTCCAGCCACACAAGCTGCAGCCAGGTAAGTACGAGATTTTTCCAGGCAGACAAGAAGCCCAACCAAACCAGGCAAGCAGAGGGCTTCCACGGGGTTTTGGTTATGGAGGAAGTCCAAG